AGAGACAGGGTAATAAATGAAATCAGTGCTTTCTGACTGGTTTCTAGAGGGAAGCATTATTATAAAGGACATTATTGGCCCACATGGGAGAAATCTGGTACTTTTGTTAGAGTAATGTTACAGTTCTTGGGTGTAATAGTGATATCATGGGTGCGTTGAAGGTCCTTGTTCTTAGGGGATACCTGCTGAGTATTTAGGGCTAAGGGCTCATGGGTGAGAGGCTGATTTACTTTCAAATGTGCAATTACTTTCAAATGATTCAGAGAAAAAAGTATGCGCGCATGTGTGTCCGGGTGTACAGTGACACAGACACCCACAGATCAAGCAAATGGCGCAAAACCTAAACACCTGGTGAATGCAGGTGAGTGGATGGGTTTGCTGTATTCTTCCAGCTTTTCTGTGGGTCTGGAAGTTTTCATGATGCAAAAGGTGGGGTGGAGACTTACGTTCACTCTACAAGAAGCTGGCTACATTGGTTGCCTGCAAGCGGCTGGGTGGCTGGAGGACAGGAGGAGGCACATTTTTCACTGTAGCGTACACCTTTCTGTGCCTTTTGAATTTTGAATCCAAGTTGGTCCGAAGTTTGTGGGTTATTGTTAAGCTGAATTTTGAATCCAACAAAGGATTCCCTATTATCTATACTGAAATAAAGTTTGTATTTAAAAACTTACTCCTCTGTAATATGAACCCTTTATAGTAGCGGTTCTCAACCTGTGGGTCGCGGCCCCTTTTGGCGGTCGAACGACCCTTTCACAGGGGTCGCCTAAGACCATCCCGCATATCAGATATTTACATTACGATTCATAACAGTAGCAACATTACAGTTATGAAGTAGCAACGAAAAGAATTTTATGGTTGGGGGTCACAACATGAGGAACTGTATTTAAAGGGCCAGAAGGTTGAGAACCACTGCTTTATAGTATCAAAGCTTGCTGAATTAAATTTTCCCAAATAGACAAACACTAAGGCCCCTGATGATGGTATTTTTTCATTAAATGTTCTATAAAGAAAGTAATACTAAAATTATAGAGTAAAAGAGTTGCTGTTAGTGTCTGTGGCTATCCTGGAGTTAGAATGCCAGGGGACACCTCACCAGTCCTTCCCAATCCATGCTGCACCCAAGGCCACAACCTTATCCAACACACCTGCTGCTTCAGCCGCTCCCCAAAGCCCACAGCATGAACACACCTGACATCATGCAACTGACCTAGTGCCCAACACTTTCTTGGCATAAAAATCACAGATTACTTTGGCGCTGTCAATGTAGGCTTCTTGTTACCTTTGGAGAATTGCAACTTTGGGGAGGCAGAGATAGTTCTTTCCCCACTGAAGCATTTTTTTTTTAAAGGAAGGAAAAGAAATGACTATGCTATGTAAGTAATTACAGTAACAAACCTAAAGCAGATCAATACACACTGATATAAAATTATCCTCAAGTGGTGCTTGTATGTACCTGTGTTCTCTGGGAAAATACAGAGAGCCTAGAAACAGTTGGCCCTGGGAGGGAAACTTGGGGAAGGAAGACGGACTTTTCACTTTAAACTATTTTGGAACGGTTTTTAATTTTTACCAATTGCATGCTTTACTTATTTTTTTTTTAATGCACAAAAATGGTTTGATAAATGGTGTCCAGGTATCACCTGCCCTATGAGGGGTGAGTTTTTAAAACTAGAAAAATGAGAATAATCTATAATTCCACCACCCAGAGAATTGCTAATGTTCTAGTACATTTCCTTCTCATCAAGTTTCTGGTGTTTTGTAAGCAAAAGGGTCTTCTGTTTTCTAATTTGCCACATTGTCTCTCCCTATCATTTTTCTAGAAGTGAAAACAAATTTTTTATTAAAAAAATTTACATTTTAACATGTACTTTAATTATTTTATACTTAAATGTGCACTTAAAATTATCTTGTAAACCTTTCCCCAAATCTTTATTTTTTGAAAACATTTTAAATGGCTACATAGTACTTCATCATATCCAATCATTCTCCTATTATTAGACATTTGGGTTTTTAGAAAATATTTTTTTGCCAAGTATCTATAGTATGCTCTATTTGGAGTAAGAAAAGAGAGGAAACAATAGTGTATCTGCTTAGCTGTAGAAAAATAGCATAGGATAAATAAACTAGAAACTAGCCCAGCGGGTGTGGCTCAGTGGTTGAGTGTTGATCTGTGAATCAGGAGGTCGGGGTTCGATTCCCAGTCAGGGCACATGCCCAGGTTGTGGGCTTGATCCCTAGTTGGGGGGGCGTGATTGGTGTGAGAGACAGCCAATCAATGATTATCTCTCATCACTGATGCTTCTATCTCTCTTTCCCTCTCACTTCCTCTCTGAAATCAATAAAAAGATATTAATAAAAGAAAAAAGAAATTGGCTCCTTTAAGAAATGGTTGATTCCAGGGCAGAGGCATGCACAGTAAGAAAGGAACAAGGAACATTTTGTTCTGCCAGAAATTAAAGAACGTGCTCAAAGCATGATGCAAACATGTCAGAAGGACCAGCAGCCAATTTGGAGGGGTGCCCACTGGCTATCAAATTCAACTGAGCATCAAGCCCTGGCCAGTGTGGCTCAGTTGGTTGGGTGTCGTCTGGTGCACCGAAGGGTTGCCGGGTCCATTCCTGGTCAGGACACATGCCCAGGTTGTGGGCCCAATCCCCAATAGAGGAGGCAGCCGATCGATCGATCGATATTTCGCTCTCACATCCATATTTCTCTCTCTCTCCCTCCCTCTTCTTCCTCTCTCTCTAAAAATCAATAAAAATATTTTTTAAATAATAAATAAAATAAACTGAGCATCAAAATAAATGACTAACAATTTATAACCCATTGAATAAAATAAGAATCTATGAGTTCATACTGATATAAACAAACATATAAGTAAAAGGGGGAGAAGGAAAAGCTTTTTCTTAGATTACAATGCCAACAATTAATGCAGAATAAGTGATGGAATCAGAAAATCTGTATTTGGTGACCATCACAATAATAGCCGATTCAGTAATAACGGATTCAATTAGGAATTATCAATAATTATCAATGGGAGCTTAAACAAGTGTATACAAATCTGATGAGCAACTGGATATCCAGTTTCACAGTATTTCCCAGAAGAGACTTATTAAGATGCATCAGTCACCATCATAAGCAAGTGTTCAAAGGTAACATCACCAGTAATGGGACAGTCATGCTGTGAGGACACATCCTTCCTGTGCCAATCCTACCAAAACTGTAGGCCCACATCTAATCCCAAAGAAATATCAGAGAAATCCAAATTCAGGGACATTCCATAAAATAATTAGTTGGTACTCTTCAAAAATATAAAGGGCAGGAAAGCCAAAGAAAGATAGAGAAACTATTACAGACAAAGATATGACAAGAAAACTAGACAGTAATCCTGGATTGGATCCTAGACCATAAAATCAACACAAAATCATTTTTTCTTTTTTGCTAAAAGGAATATTACTGTGAACATTGACTAAATCTGAATAAGGTCTGTAGATTAGATAATATTTTTTTCCTCAAAGCTGATTTCTTGATTTTGATAACTATAGTAAGGTTATGTAGGGAAATATCTCTGTTTTTATAAAATAAACACTGAAGTCCAAAGTATTTAGGAGTTAAGGACATCATGCCTGCAATTAACTCTAAAAAATTATGGTAAAGGGTTTGTAAAAATTCTTTATACTATTCTTGCTACTTTTCTATAAGTCTGACATTATTTTAAAACACATACACACAATGCACGTACACACACACACACACACACACACACACACACACATCCCTTTGGTACCAAAGATAATACACTGAACATCCTTGATCATAAATAATCTTTGCTTCCTTAGGATTCTGAGTAGAATTACTAAATCAAAGGTATACAGCTTAAAATATTGATGCGTATGGTAGAGAAGTTTTTGCATACCTCTAACTGTGGAGGAGCAAGGCAGTGGAAACGGAGGACTGAGAGATTAGACTGTGGGGTGAAAGCAGGTGTGTAACTGGAACTAAGGAATGCGCTCACAATGAGTGGGAACCAAATGCTAGGTTGGGCAGATGGGGGTGAGGGATCAAAGCTGATGACATGAGACTCTTCAGAAACATAACCCTCAAAAAAGAAAGAAACATAACCCTCATGTGGTTTAGCTGATGGGCCACTGTAATTTACGTACACAATGGCATGGTAAGAGCGGACTCCGGTATTGGTCAAATGACAGTGCCTTGCATCCCTCCCTCTATATGCAACCCCCCAGTGCAAGCCAGTTATTCACCATTGAGTCACAGCGGGTACCTGAGCCTTTCTGATTGGCACCCAAGACCAACTACAACTTCTCCACCAAGTACATAGTCCTATGACCTAATGGCTTTGCTATATGATGTGTTAATAAACAATCTAAAATAAGAATTCATTTTAAATGCCCATAATACGTTCAACCAAGTACATATAGTAAGTCCTCACTTAAAGTAGTTAATAGGTTCTGTGACTTTAAGTGAAACTACGTATAATGAAACCAGTTTTTCCACAGGCTAACTGATGTAAACAATAGTTAAGTTCCTACAGCATCTCATCGTTGTAACAAAACAATGTTGAATGAAACGTTGTTACTCAAGGACCTGCTATATATTAATTTGCTTCTTATTGAATAATTGCTATTTGCCAGCGACTAAGTGCTTCATGTGGGTTCTACCATTTAATCCTCCAAATAACTCCATGGGGGTGGTAGTAGCATTATGTCCATTTCACTGATGAGGAAAATTAAGTCTAGAGAAGTAAGTTAAGGTCAGACTTGATCCATGTCATAAAGCTTAGAGTCAAATCCATGAACCTGACTCTGGAGTCTTCACTCAAAACCACAATGCTATGCTGGATAAAAAAATTTTCATTGAGGAGAATAAAGGCAATGAATCATACATCGGGAAATTGGGAGGAACATGATAGTCTATTAAAATACAAATCCCACTTTTCCCTTTCGCAATCAGCCAAGCACTCATCGATAAAGGGAGCGTACCTGACAGAAGAACTGCTGCTGGGCTCCTGCTCCCGGTGCGTTACTGAAGGTGCTGGTAGGTTTGGAAGAAGCAGCTGGAAGACGATGAGACGCACTGACCGGTACTGGAGTCCTGTTTGGCTGGGTCAGCGGATCTCCTGTAAAGTTTGATCCTGATGCACCCGACTGAACCGCAGACCCAAGACTAGGATGGACAGTGCTGGACGAGCTAACAGGGAACCGACTAGGTCCTGACATGCTTGTCACTGAGGGCATGGGGGTGAAGCCAGGTCTTCCCTGGGAGACGCTGCTCTGCCCAGGCGACAGGTGTAAGACCGTTGGTGATGCCTGTTGCAAGGGCATCTGTCCACCAACAATCTGAGGGGAGGCATGATTGACTATCACTGGACTTCCAGAGGCGGCAAACGTCTGCCCAGACACCAGCTGGACGGTGCTCTGGTTGTTCAGCATCTGCCCGGAATACGGTTGGTTGGTCCTGAGCATGTTGGAAGAGTTTCTGTTCAACATTACATGCTCTGAGGCCGCTTGGCCAGAAATGAGCTGAGAAGATTGGGCCTGAACAAGCTGCCCATTTATGGTCTGGACGTGATGTACCGAGTTGGAGCTGACGGAAAGGCTTGTGGGTACGAGGAACTGACTTTGGGGGGTGTGAGACTGGCCCATGGGAGAGTGAATGACGATACTACCCGCGGCGCTGCTCACTGGCTGTGAGGTGACTGGTTTCCTTGTGTTCTGTTGGTTTACGACGTTCACAGACATGTGCGGACCAACGACTGAGCCCTGGGGTGAGCTCGCAGAGGCAAAAGAGATCCCTTGCTGCACGTGATGCTGCTGTATTCCCAAATTGTTCACATTGTACGTATTTTGCTGGCCCATCTGGATGGGCTTTGGCTGGATGTTTATTGGGACTTTGTTTGAATTTGGTGCGAGACCCCTCTGTATGATGATGTTATGCACAGGTAAAGATGTTTGAAAATTTGTGCTGTTAAACGGAACAGTAACAGGCTGTGCTACTGGACTGGAACTCGAGTTCCCAAACAAGGAGTTGCCATTGGGAGTCTGTCTATGTACCAGAAGTCCTCCACTCACATTGGATGGGGCTTGCTGCCCGCTGCCCTTTAATATGATTTGAGATCCATCTAGGTTGTTAATAGTCATCATGGAAGGTTGATTACCAAATGACCCAATTAACTGTATCTGACCAGAACCACTCAGCTGACCGCTATTAGACAAGTGCTGGCTGGGCACGCTGATCCCCACGTGTTGCATAAATCCATGTTGCACACCCACTGTATTGCTTGCAAACGATGCTCCAACAGGCACGTGAGTCACCCCTATAGGCTGCAGCGTCTGACCTGAGTAATTAGAAACATTAGAAGCCTGAGTATAGGATGCTGATGAAGAAGGATGAAGCTGAGCTTGTGCAAACTGCTGGCTTGAACCTATACTGGCATCCAAATATGCCTCTTCTGCCAACGTCTGCTCAGTGATATTGGCCTCCTGCAAGGATTTCTGAAGGATGTCAAAAGGTTGGTCCTCACTGAGATCAGGAAGAGGAGAAGACTCAAGTTCATCTTCAAGAAACTGAAGGCTATTGGAAAGGGGCAGTCCATCACTGGGCCCTTCTCCAAGCTGGCTGCTCACAGCTTTGAGGGATGACTTAGGATCAGCATTCTATTAAAAAAAAAAAAGCAATATGTTACATGGCATATCCAACCTTTGAAAGAGATTCTTATAAAAAAATTAATCTCACTTCTGAATACAAATAAAGCATGGCAGTTTGAACACAACTCTCCAAACTGCTCACCTTATTCTCATACTGTATTTCCTTACTCATGATGTTGAACATTACTTTTGCAATTATATACATTCATTGCTCTGGTAAATCAGTTTATAGAAAACAGATAAATAACAGAAAGATACTGACAACTATCTGGAGTTTAGCTTCATTTAAAAAAATTATTTAGAGAATGAGAGAGAGAGAGAAACACACAATGATTTGTTGTTCCACCCATCCATGCATTCATTGCTTGATTCTTGTACGTGCCCTGACCAGGGATTGAACCCACAACCTTGGTGTACTGGGATGACGCTCTAATCAACTGAGCTACCTGGCCAGGGCTAACTTCATTTTTTTGAGATACTGGCACAGACTTTAATTTTCATAATTGCTTCCAGTCCAAGGCTTAAGCTCAACTCAGCCTGGGGTAGGTATGTATTGAGGAGATGGCCATGTCTAGTCCTTTGTACAATGGGAGTCTAAGTGAGTTTTGGGAGTTCAAGGTGTTGCTCTATGAGAGATCCAGAAGGTATCAGATTCAGCCCTATCTTTCAAGGCTTCTCAGAACTCCAGTTCTAACCTCCCCACCCAGGCAAGACCAGTCCAGGAAAAATTAGCTTCCTACATAAAATGAGTAAATGGTCATTTGATTTCTTAGAAGTGATCAGCTTATTATAATGCTTTAAAAACTGCTTCAGCATCCTATTCAAAAGCAAGTCTCTCAACATTTATTTATCAAGCACCCTCTTATGTGTTTGTTTCTGTCCTTAAGGAAAACATATTCCAACTAGAGACAACAATATAGGCATATGAAGGGAACTGAACACGGTCACTCATAAATAAGATACATTCTCACTATTCCAGCAGTTTTTCCTGGGACATGTCAAACTTATAAAAGATACGGACTCTATCCCTCATCTTGGAGCCTGTGAAGGCGTACTGGGAACAGGACTTCTACAATGACAAATGGGTGTGAAAGGCTGTGGTCCAAGGCCATTAAAAATTTGTTTTGTTTTGTTCTGTTAATCCTCACCCGAGGATATTTTACTTCCATTTATTTATTTTTTTTTAGAGAAAGTAGAAGGGAGGAAGGGAGCGGGGAGAGAGAGAGAAACATCGATGTGAGAGATACATTAACTGCTTGTCTCCCACACACACTCCAACCGGGCTGGGATCAAACTGGAAACCCAGGTACTTGCCCTTGACTGGGAATCAAACCCACAACACTTCGGTGCGTGGGCCGACGCTCTAACTAACCACTGAGAAACACCGGCCAGGGCCAAGGGCATTTTTGCTGGCTATAAGTGGGGTCTCTGAAATTACTTCGAGAGAGACGATGAGCGAGAGAGAAAAAAACACAATGATTTGTTGATCCACCCATCTTTTGCTTTTTTTTTTTTTTTAACCATTTGTACTCCATAAGCATCTATAGACGCAAGCGGCGGACCTTTTTAAATTAAATTCAAGATATCGTGGCAGTTAACTGGTTAATTTTTAAAAATATGTTTTTATTGATTTTTAGAGAGGGATAAAGAGATAGAAACATCTATGAGACAGCAACATCAATTGACTGCCTCCTGCATGTCCTCTACTGGGAATCAAACCAGTGACCTCTTGGTTCATGAGTCAACACTCAACCACTGAGCCACACTGGCCGGGCGAGGATATGTTGTTTATTGATTTTGAGAGAGAGAGAAAGAGAGAGAGAGAAACATCAATTGGTAGCCTATGGTATCCTCCCCGCCCAGGGATTGAACCTGAATCCTAGGAATCGAAACCACAACCTTTTTGGTGTATGAAATAATGGTCCAATCAACTGAGCCACCGGGCCAGGGCACACCCAGTTCTTAAAATTGAAGGTGTTCATACTGGAGATGAAACTGAATTCTACCTAGACACAAGGTGTGGTTATGTGTATAAGGCAGAGAACAGCACAGTGACTCCTGGTGGCAAACCGAACAAAACCAGAGTAGCCTGGGCCAGGAACTCGTGCTCATGGAAACAGTGGCATGACTTGGGCCAAGTCCCAAAGTAACCTCCCTGCTAAGGTCATTGGACACAGAATCATGTAATGCTGTAACCCTCAGGGACTTAAATGTATTGAAAAGTAAATAAATAAAAGTGAATTTGTTCTCTTGTTAAAAAAAAGATATGGAATCAACAGCTATTTAAAATAAGGTGAATTGCCCTAACCGGTTTGGCTCAGTAGATAGAGCGCTGGCCTGTGGACTGAAGGGTCCCAGGTTCGATTCTGGTCAAGGGCATGTACCTTGGTTGCGGGCACATCCCCAGTGGGAGGTGTGCAGGAGGCAGCTGATTGATGTTTCTCTCTCATCGATGTTTCTAACTCTCTATCCCTCTCCCTTCCTCTCTGTAAAAAATCAATAAAATATATT